CCCCATTACATCGGCAAAGTGTACGGCGTGGTGAAGGCGTACACCACCCGCGTCGGTGTGGGGACTTTCCCCACCGAGCAGAACAACGTAAGTCCCTGAATATCAGGGTGCGTTTTCCCCAGGTCTTCAAACTCACCTGGGGGAGCACCGTTTTCTTTTGTGTCCTGAACTGCGCCCCCATTTTATCCTCCGTTAATTATTTCTCAACCTTGCACCCATCCGGTCGCAGCCTCCCATTGCTCCATTCCTTGCTTTAAGATAAAATCCTATCGGGTCGACTTGATGAACGATGAAGAAATATAAATGATATTACGGAATAATACAAAATGTGCTCATTTTAGCCAGGGTGGATAAAAATCCATGATTTATTTTTTTTAATTGGATTTTTAAAAAGCATTTAAATTGGATTTTTTTAAAAAAACAATTATCGAATTTTGGAGTAACAAAGTCTAAAGATAGTTTTCCATTTGAGATACATTAATAATCTAGCTTATTCACCATGCAGTGGAGCTTAGTTATGTAGCACTAGCTGGATACCCATGTGCTTCGCTACGAAACCATGTGGTCAGGCTTAGTTTTTGGGGAGGAAAATAAGGAAAGAAAAATTCTGCCTCTGCCTACCAGCATCCATCGGAATTCGTCTGGCTAGCGTCCTGTCGGTGTGTCAGAGAGTTGAGGGCTGTTTGGAAACTGAAACAGTACTTGCTGCGTGAGTAAGAAGGGGAGACAGCAAGGAGCCTGGGTGTGGCTTAGCTCAACTGTTCTGTACTAACGCTGCTTGGTGCTCTGAAACTGGAACTCCTCTGCTTGTTTTGCATTTGGAAGAGATTTCTTTCCAGGTGGGGAGGCGGAGTCGAACTCCTTAGCATCAGAGCGTGTTAATAATAATAATAATAATATAGGAAATACTCTAAATGCTCTGATGGTCATTTGGAAAAATCCTTTCTTAGGGAGCCCCTAGAAGCCAAGAGGAACATAAGTGCCAAATTTCAAGTTTGTAGGCTTTACGGTTCTGGAGATTTTGTGATGATGCGTGAGGGGCATTCTGCTTTTATATATATAGATGAGGCTATATATTCTGCGATACTGGGAATGTCAGTCAGTCAACAGTGGATCAGAGGAGGAGCCTCTGTGGGACAGAGATGACAGTTGTTCTTTAAAAATTACAATTTAAGTCAAGTTGATTTAAATCAACCCTTTTTACTAGGGATTTCAATCGCAATTTCAATCGACTTGACTTAAATCAAATCCACCCTGATGTTAGTTAGCTACCTCCGTTACTTAGTTTTTTGTGGGTTTTTTTGTGGTTGATGTCTGAATATTTCAGCATTAAAAGCTGGCATTGGGCTTAAGGAGTGTCATCTCCGTACATTTTTAAATCTCTTTTCGTTGCAGGAGATCGGCGAGACGCTCCAAACACGGGGACGGGAATTTGGCGTCACCACGGGCCGTAAGCGGCGCTGCGGCTGGCTGGACCTCGTCCTGGTGAAATACGCCCACATGATCAATGGTTTCAGCGCGTGAGTCTCTGCCAAATTCCATGTATGTATGTATGTATGTATGTATGTATGTATATGTATATATTTAATGTTTTTATTGTTCCTTGTGGGACTTGAATGCACTGTGGAAGTTTTGAAGAATGGTTTGACAGAGGAGACATTGATTTGCTGCGTTTCTATGCAGCGTAGGCAGTCCTCGACTTACAACCGAGCCCCAAATTTCATGTTGCTGAATGAGAGGAGTCAGTGAAGCGAATTGGGCCCCGTTTTACGACCCTTCCTTGCCACGTTTGTTAAGCCAGTCTCTGCCGTGGTTAAATCAGTGACCCCATCATTAAGTTATTGCACAAGATATTTGCACCCAGATGACAAAACGAAAGATGGAATGTTTGTATAAAATAAAACAAAAAATTAAATTTTAGAAAAAGGGTGAAAAATAATCCTAAGAGGGTGAAAAATAATCCTAAGAAAAATAATCTTTTTTGGATTGATCATAACACTCTTTTTTTGGGGGGGACGCTTCCTAGCCTGGCTGTGACCAAGTTGGACATACTTGACACCTTTGAAGAGATCAAAGTGGGTGTGGAATACCATCTGGATGGGAAGCAGATTCCATATTTCCCAGGTGAGACTGCAGACTTCGGGATGCAGAGGCTTATGTCCCAGCAGATAAGGAGCTAATTGTTGCCTCTGTATCGTTAGAAGAGATTATTTGTAGCTCAGGGTTGAAATGAGGGGTCCTTGTGGCTCTCTGAGCTTGATGGTTTTCTCGGAGACGTTTCACGACCCAACTAGGGAACATCATCATGTTAGAAGGGAGTGGAGATTGCAGAGAAGAGGAGGAAGACAAAAAGGAGGAGGAGGAGGACTGTGGCGTCCTTGTTGCTCTCCTGAGCTTTTTTTGCAAATGTTTCATGACTCAACTAGGCAACATCATCAGTGTTAGAAGGGAGAGCAATTTGCTGCAAATGCCCTTCTAGCACTGATGAGGTTACCAAGTTGGGTCATGAAACATTTGCAAGAAAACTACCAAGCTCAGAGAGCAACAAGGACCCCACAGTCCTCCTCCTTTCTCCTCCCTTCTCCTCCTCCTCCTCTTCCTCCATCCCTTCCTCCTCTCTGCAAACCTGCTAGCACTGATGTTGTTACCAAGTTGGGTCATGAAACATTTGCAAGAAAACCAGCTCGGAGACCACCAAGGATCCCACCGTCTCCCTCGTCCTCCCAAACCCCGCTCCCTCCTACCCTGACGACATCCCCCGGCTGGGCCACGAAACGTCTGGTAGAAAACCCTCCCAAGGGTTCAGAGATCCCTCAAGGATCCTAACTAGATCCTCTGCTCCTTTCTCTGCAGCCAACCAGGAGCTCCTGAACAAAGTCACCGTGAAGTACAAGGAGCTTCCTGGATGGAAGCGTAGCACCGAGGGGGCTCGCACCTTTGACGACTTGCCCTCCGAGGCCCAGGCTTACATCCGGTTTATCGAGGGCTACCTGGGAGTGCCAGGTGAGCCTTTGGGGCGGGTCCAAACTTTGCATGTATTTGAAATGGGGTTGCAGGCGGGGGGTGGGACAGAACTGGTCGGACCAGTTCTATAGAACTGGTCGTTACGATTCGGCCCAGTTTGGAGAATCGGCAAATTGTGCCGCTGGCTGGTCCCTCCCCTCCCCACCCATTCACTCCTTATCTAGCATGCGTGCCATCAAACTTGCCTGCGTTTGGTAAGTTGTTATTTTTCCTCCACCCCCACCCCCCGAGCATCAGCTGTTCTGCTGTGCCGGGAGATTTAAAGTAGCTAGAAAGCAGGAAATAGTGGCGTTTCGTGCTTTCTAGCTAATCTAAAAGCGGAGCTGGACCTTCTTAGCTTCTATTTTTCAGTGCAGACTCAGGCAGCAGATGGCAGAAAGGTAGATCTCTGAGTGAATCTGTGATTCCGTGAGCAACTCAATCTGCCTGCCTGCTTTGCCTGATTCGGGGTAAAAGTTGCTCTTTTTTAATTAAAAAAAATATTCAATATTGACATAAATATTTATAATATTTACATACAAGCCACGCCCAGCCAGTCACATGACCACCAAGCCACACCCACAAATTAGGCCACGCCCACAGAACTGGTTGTTAAGAAATTTGAATTCCAACCCATGATTGCAGAGGGACGAACCAGGGTGCCCCCCCCAATAGATAGATAGATAGATAGATAGATAGATATAGATATATAGATATATAGATATATAGATATATAGATATATAGA